TCATGGAACGTGTAAACAGCACTCATGGAACGTGTAAACAGCACTCATGGAACGTGTGAACAGCACTCATGGAACGTGTGAACAACACTCGTGAAACGTATGAACAACAATTACGTAGTGTGCCCAAAGCAGGCAAGCAAGTCAACTTTGGGGACAACCCAGTCGTTGTGCCGCAGACTACACAGGCACGGCCGCATCATAACACGACTGAAAGACCTGTGACCACCAAAACAGGAATGGCTGTTGGCCACGAGAGCGTACGAGATTCTACGAGAGACTCGCTCTCTCTGCTGCGTGTGCTTGGAAGCGTGAGCTGTGTTTGAGGATGGCTCCTTAGAACAATAAATATTATATCAACTAACAACATGTGTTGATCCATAATATTACACTTAGACCATCAAATGACCGGTCTAAAACTGGGGGGGGTTGCCAGTGGAAACAACTGCATCGAACAGTGTACGGAAAAAATAATACTGTATTATGTTGTTAAGGGGTCATCTACTTATCCATGCATTCTTCATTATGTATGCAATTGTAACAGCGGCCATGAGGCGCGAGGATAGATACAGCGCCGCAGCAAGTCATGAACGCGTATGCACCGTGCGCGCACGTCCGCGAACGCGTGGCGGTCCGCCCGCGCGGCAGTGATAGTGGTCCGCGCCCACAGCGGTGGTATGCGGCGCGGCGGTGATAGCGGTCCGCGCGCGCAAATCCAGTCTATAGGATCAGCATCTGCAGTAAACATGATAGTTTTCATGTCTAAACATGCACATTGAGTTCTGTTCAGTCCATATTTTGTCTCATGTGTGGCATGTCTTGTATTTTGCAGATCACAGACACCACCAAGAATGATGTCAAGTCGAAGGCAAAACTCCAGGAATTCATGGATCATTGCTGTCGCCAGAGACATTACACGTTCCAGATGAAAAAGTGTGGCCAACCCGGGTGCAAGATTTGCAGGTAATTAAATACTAGTAGTCTATCTAGAAACATGCTTGTAAATGTATTGTTAGAATATACATGTAGTAGCGGATATTTGATTCACCTTGACCTTCCTGAGCACTTAATATTATGTGGATGAATCTTTTGATGTTTGATCTGCAGGCCTCCAAGAATGAATCAAGAGAAGTTCCGCTCTGTTGACTTCCTACCAGACCCAGAACCAGACCAGACTCGCACTCGAAACGACCCAACAGCGAATCCTGGAGAAGAGTTGCATTACAAGTGTTTCGAGGATGTCTACCAGACCGCCTCTAAAATATTTGTTTAAATTTTCAATGCAGTAAACTGATTATATGCATGTTTGTTGTGTTTACAGGTGTCAGCAAGAAACTGGAGACTGCGTCAAAGAAGGCTGGCTGCCAGAGCCTACAACTGTGGGTAAAATCGGCTTCCAACCACATGTACTGGGTTGCCGCATCCTCTGGAGAAGACAGCGAGTTGAAGTTGGACAAGTGGAAATCCATCATGAACCACATTGCCGACAAACATACCGGCCATTCTGACCGCTTTCCAAAGTGTGCACACGGACCCATTGGAGAACGATGCTGGCTTGAAGCAGGTGTGTACTATTATGTTTGCCATTCATATATCAATTAGTATTTTATGGATGAGAATCTTCAGCCGATTGTAAAATTGTACAGAATTTATAAATCTGAACTGTATTTGTTCACAAACCAAAATGTATGGGTACATATTTTCACAAATTTTAACCCTACATGTAGTTTCAGAAATTTGATAATGACCATTCTCATTCACCATGGAGTTTCTATACCATTCCAATAATAAATTTTCACTTGAAATATGCTCAGTTTCTGTTAATCAACTTGATTTCCTAGTTTATTTCATGTACCTGTAAATTTTTGAAAGCAAGTGGGAATGGCCCCACCAAATATGACTCGTCGAATAACGTTCACCATGACGTGAAAGGTGCGCATTGACGATGCACAGAGTACTTGTGATACATTTCACTAAATTATTTCTGGTTGATTTTATAGGTTCCAAGCCGTACAAAGTGATGGATGGAATCATCACAAGCTCTTACCTTCTGCGTGACATTGGTCAGTTGTCTCCACTCTACCAGACGTACTATCTGGAGGTGTTCCACAACGTGGTGAACCACTTTGCACCAAAGAGTATCCACTTCTTCCACAGAGCCATGCTTGTAAGGTGAGAACATAAAACAGCATTTTCTAATATGGGCATTAACGTAACTAAATGGGCGTTAAATGTTTCCCAGGTAAAAAACAGGCCAGGTAAGAAAATTGTAAATTACTCCCTTATATCATATCGTATACTGACATATTTGTGGGGGAAGGACTCACAAATTAAATCTGACATTTTGGTCCCAAATAATAATTCGTTAATAATGCTGCTGTAATAATAGTGTAACAGGATAAATATCCCAATTTCCCCTGTTATAGTAGAATATATGATAAGGATATATATTATTTGTATCATATATAATATACCATATATACTTTATCCAAATGTCGAAATGAATGTGTTAATTGGTAATTTCATATTTACTTGTGTATGCACAAAGAATGGTTTTGTGATACTTTACATTGTGTTTTCAGGATGTACCTCTCAGCACTCCATTTCAACGAAAACAGCGACAAGCAGCAGGCCAGAACCAAAGAAGGACGACTGCAGTGGAGAGTGAACTACCCAAAAGCAAAGAAGGGAGCAACTGCGGCCGTCAAGCAAGTGAAAGTCGAGAACACATACGGTACCTTTTTTATTTATTAAAATAAAAATTTGTAAATATAGTTCAGTCCTTTTTTAGAATGATTTTATTACCAGTAAATGAAAGATATGAAATGGTTATTCGGCAAAGAATCAAACGCAAGAGGTAAATATATTGAATTGTTGTAAATTTTATCCTCAATTGTCACAATACACATTGCAGAACAAAAATTAGCAATGTCTAAACTCAGTAAATTGTTTGAGTAACATGCTGCACCTAACATATTGATGAACAAGACATTATAAGTCTATTCTAACACGGCTTTATCAAATTTCAGAATATGTGCAGATCCTGTGGCAGCAGGTGCTCCATCGGATGGCGCAGTTCACCTCGTACAAGGCCGCCAAGGCTGACGCAGGCCTTCTACAGCCTGCACCGGGTCACCTGAGGGCATCCTTCCCAGCAGTGGACAAAGCAGAACTTGTCCAGACCCGTAGATCGAGGTTTCGGGAAACGCCAATGGAAACTACATCGGACTGATTGTGTGGCACGTAGCAGAGTATGTGAGCGTACAGTGAGCGTACGTGGGCAGAGAACAAGTAAGCGGTACCATACGGTTTCGCACGTCTCGACAAGTCGACGGTCTGGAAAACCCAACCGGACTTACTCCCTCACACAGGATGGAGTAAAAACCACGTACTGTAGACACCTCACATACAGCGCCAAGCAAGGAAGATACGCGAACGCGATGCGTTCGGGGGTTCAGGGGACGTGATCAGGCACATCAAGGCGACACTCATGGAACGTGTGAACAACACTCATGGGACGTGTGAACAGCACTCATGGAACGTGTAAACAGCACTCATGGAACGTGTGAACAGCACTCATATAAACTTTATATTGTTTTTTTGTATAAATCTCAAGAATGACTAAAATGAAAACCAAAACACGGAAATCCGCGAATCCACAAAAAATTCTCATTGTTATGCAGGGCTCAGGAAGAAACTATCGGCGAAAGCAAAGCAGAAAGAGTATGCGCAACTACTTCCATGGATTCCATTCATTGTTAACCATCTTTGGTGGAGTGTTGCAACATGTGATGGTTCTGCAGAGCTGCTGAGGTACACACCTGCATGCAGTTTTTAGATGTAGTCTCTTGTAATCAAGTTTTTCTATCGTCTTACTATAACATACATGACGTAGAACATTGAAAATTACGATAAAATTCCTTATTGTCTATAAGGTTGGTTTTTGGGATTATTGATTGACCCAACCTTCAATATCTTTTTGGTTCTAATCATGTTATGTAGCTTGCCAAATGTTATATAGGCAAGCACTATAAAAATAGAAAGTTAGAGATATAATGTGAGTAAAGTTTAGCATTATGTGATAACACCTGTTTTACAACATCACCAACAAAACTTAATTATTGTTTTTTTTAATTTTTAAAGAGAGAAATGGACTTTAATTCTGCGCCATGTACTCGACATACACGAGTGGGCATGCTCCAACACATTACATCGGTGCGCCCATGAGCAACTCACACCTGAGGAGACCAGAAAGAAGAAGTGGCTGCAACCAGGCTCAAAGCACCACAAGTACCTCACAGAGGTAGTCTGTGATAAGACTCTTCTGCGGGACCTGGAACATACCACCATGTTCTGCCACACAGGCATACTCGAGTCCTTCCACAATGTGAGATTGAAGTATAGCCAGAAAAGACAACATTACTCTTATCAAGGTATGTAACAAATTTTGACCACGACTAAAAATATGTCGTTTTTTCAAAGGCTGCAATATCTTTGTCATGTTATATAATATATTATTATGTGCATCAATCTTTAATTTCAAATATTTAAACATGAAGATAGTAGAATTTGGCTCTACATCACTCCATGCCGCATCTTCAATGGTTTTATTGAAATAGGCATGCTGGCCAGAGGAGAACTGGCTGCACTAGACCACAACAACAACAGAGGTCGTGCACAACTTGTAGATGGGGAGGGCAACCTGAGGTATACCACACACTTCCCGAAAGCCAAGAAGGAATGGGTAGCGAAGGCTGTGTATGCTGACGCAGACCAGACTACGTTCAAGCGTGCGATCCTGGCAGAGGTCATTGACATCCGAATAAATGGGTGCAGTAAGTGTTTTCCTTGGTGTTTGTGTTATGCAATTTAGCCTACCTTGCGTGCCACATGTAAATAAGAAAATATCACAAAACTTACATATCGGTATCATCATCCATCATTTGATAGATACTTTACTGAGTGGAGAGAATCTGATTATCATTGACATGCTGGCTGGCAAATATGTTTGTATAGCAATAGAGCCAAATTATATGCAAATACAATGTCAAATGATAGCAATGATATACATATAAAAAGTTTACAGTTGTTAATTGCATGGTTTGTTGATTCTAACATTATGTTGCTGCCTGTATAAACTTTCTGTTCTGTCTGGTAGGTGTAGCTGACCGACCACATGTACCAGAGCTGCCGCAAAACATTGCAAGTATTCCACCGCCTCCAAAAGCCGATGTCATCGCACGCCAAGTGAAACAAGAAATCTAACATTGGCCTAGTAAATAAAATAAAAAATTAATTTATAATTAATAAATCGTAAAACTCGTCAACTATAATGAAAATGAAAGTGTCAATGACACTATAGTCAATGACACCATATAGTGTCATTGACACTTTCATTTTCATTATAGTTGAAGAGTTTTACGATTTATTAATTATAAATTTAATTCTTGACGATGTCAAAGTGAGCTAACTAGGACTGTCCCAGGGTTAGACTAAAGAACCCCCCCCCCCTCACACACACTGTGTCACCACTCAAACCGGCCATGCATCGTCTGTCTCCGACTCGCATGCATCCCGATAGCCGACATATTGGCCACTCTCTTCAGGATAGGCTTCTCTTACTTTTAGTATTACGCAAGCCGGGATAACTCTCCTGACTCCTTTGCCAAGCCGTTTGTGTACCCAGTAGGTATATTGGCGGTATGCAGCCAAGCGCAATATCCTGCAATGTAAATAAATCCAGTTAATTTTACACTGTCTATAATGATGAGTTTTCCCCCACTGAATCTGTGAACACGTTAACATTATTTTCCAATTACATGTTTTAAGGAGATCAATCGAATCTGTGAAATTGGTATAGTATAAAAAATCCATCTGAATGTGTCAGAAATACAAATACATGAATATTGTTTTATTTTAATCTGACATTGAACATGTATCCTAATTAATTTATTAAATTGCAACACACTATAAGGTATGAAATTGTTTGTTGACATGACATTAGATACACCTTATTAGATGCACTCATTTCTCATGCTTCGATGGGTGGACATCATATACTGAGTGCTGCATAAGTTATTGAACTGTTATAATGTATATATAATAAATGCCCTTTACAACAATGTACCAGGGCAACCATATAAGAATATGTTTATGAATTATTTGCTTGTCTCTCCACTCCCTTTCATCCGCCAGTCCTGTGATACAAACCTTATACTGTGTTCCATTTGTGTGCTATTCTACCAATGTGAGTGCCCAGTTCATGAATACCAGAGGAAAACACCACACGTATACAACTACTGTGATTTTATATTTATTTTATGGTGTTTATTGTAGATTAAGCGTTTAATTGTATTAGCTAAGATGCTAGAAATAAAACTTTAAAATTTCAAACCTATTAGTCAGTGGATCTTGAAGATCTCCTCCGGAAACGTCATGCATAGCCACCAGTGCAGTGCGGAACACGTTGTAAACATACAACTGCAAAATCTGGATGGTTTGTGATGCACCTTTTTTTGTTTTTCCACTCCACTGTCAAACCAAACAAATTATAACCCAATCAAATTGCTAAATGCAATTTAATTTTAAGATTTCTATATTTGCAGCACAATATTTCAGATAGAGGTGTATGCAGTCAAGGTAGATTATCCAGTCAACTGTAACATTTAGTCAACTAACAAATTTGTCACTCTCCTATATGATACTATACAGAGTGGCTATTACTGCCCGGCAGGCCCGGCATATAGTCTGTACGGCTGGCGGCGCGCAAAATGCCTGTCAGTTTTTAATTTTTAGCGTTATCTCAAGTAAACAAGGGTTAGGGTTAGAGTTAGGATTAGGGCTAGGGTTAGGTTTAGGGCTAGAGTTAGGGTTTTTGTTAGGTTTAGGGTTAGGGTTAGAGTTAGGGTTAGGAAGTGCAGGGCATTTAGGAAAACGAAGACCGTGCCCGGCTGCCGGGCATATAGCCACACCGTATACTATATATAAATAAGATACTTATGTCAAAGGGATTGGGTACTCTACTTACAACGTATTGTTTAAAGTTATAGTTATTGCTCTGTCAGTAATCATTGCATTGCATGTACTGTAGCCAGCGTAGGCCGAAGTAACCTTTTGGCTGATCGCCGTTAGCAGGGAAGTAATTAAATACAACGTAAACCAACACAGGGTAGGGTTATACTGTGACACTGCGTTGGGTTAGGCCACGCTGTGTTGACGTTGACGCTAGACCTAGCTTTAGTAGTATAGCCCGCGGATAGCCTACGGCAGCTAGCCACGGGCTATAGCACTAGAGCTACCCTAGACCCTGCCCTGTGTTGAACGTAGACCCTAGGCTATTCTGTGTTAGCTTACATTATTGTATCTAGCCAGTTATAGCCATTATAGCTAGTCTCTACAGTTATAGCCAGTATATTGGGCTATATAGGCTCTAGGCTATAGGGAATAGACCCTAGGCTATTCTTTGTTGGGTTACATTATATTATTGTATCTTGCCAGTTATAGCCATTATTGTATCTAATCTAGCCTAGCAGCAAATTTGCATCAGAAACTCAGCATGCTTGTCTACCATCGAAAATTCTAATGGAAAAACTGAAACATACGATGCTGAAGGTAATCCCTGACTGATGTCATTTCTTGACAATACAGACACTCTCTGTTCGATAACATCGTTTGGCACAAGCCACAGCTGCACCAATCGTCAGCTGTTCCGGTGACACGTTGTTGAACTTAAAGCAAATCTTCACTTAGGTATTCCTGTTTACTGTCGAAACTGTCTGCTACCCGTTCCTCCCCATCTTTCCACTCGGGCTCAACAGAGTACGGTGCAAAATTGGTGGCAGATTTAGTCACATATTGAAATTCCTCGGGTTACTGTCCGATTCAGAACTGACAGAAGATATGTCAACACGTAGTTCGGCCATTCATTTATGTGAAACAAGTGAGCACGCGCCACTCAACAAACACGCAAGGCATTGCGGGAAAATTATGGCGGCCTGTACAAAAGCTGGCGTCGTCCAAGATCGATCAAAAACATCATCAAAAGCAGGTTTGATCATAATATGTTCTAAAAATGTCAGAAACCCTGTTTAAAAGTAATTACAATGTCATATGATAGGCTAAATACGTTCTAGATGTCAGATTCCCTTTAATATATATATATATATATATATATATATAATTATATATATAATAATGTACATGTATATGAACCAATTTATGGTTGATCAAAATTCAAGTATTCATGTGTTGCATCTTACATACACTGCATTTGAATAGTATATTCAATTTACCTTTTATGTTATTAAAATTAAAAAAGGAGTACTCAATAGATTTAGCAATATTACAAATGTCTGATATGTTTTCAAAATACATTTCATCCTGTGTCAGACATCAGGTATCATTTCAATGTACACGCACACACGCACACACACACACACACACACACACACACACACACACGCGCGCACGCACATACACACACACACACACATGCGCGCAGACACACACACGTCACACACACACACACACACACACACACATCACACACACGCACGCACGCACGCACGCACGCACGCACGCACGCACGCACGCACACACACACACACACACACACTGAACACATTTTGCAAATTCACTGTTTTACACTTTCAGCGAAGGATCGTTTATACAATGACGTCATTGATTACATGGACAAATCCCTAGCCCACTTCCCCAAATCATTGCCTGGGGAGACTGTCCGCAAGCACTTCAATATCATCGTGGAAGCCCTGTGGTATATCGATGGGACCAAGGACAAAATCCAGCAGAGAGCAGAATCACATCATGTGAAACCTCTCCCACCAAGGTATTTGCAGTTTAATTTGAAAATTGGTTTACACCAGTCGAGTGGTTATGAAATAGAGCGTTCGCTCGGCGTGTGGAAGATCGTGGGTTCGAACCCTGGCCATGTCATACCAAAAGATGTACAAAAGATTCGTCGTTCCCCTGCTTAACGCTTAGCATTAAAGGGGTAAGGCAAGGGCTGGTCGGCTCGGAGTTGGTCAAATGTGTCCAGGTGGGGTATCTGTGCTGAACTGCGACATTGTATTCCAGTGGGGTAGTGCTATAATGAATTAGCGGAAACCCGATCTTTCACAAGCAGACACACACACTCATACATATGCATACACGTCATCATATGAGTGAAATAATCTTAAGCACGTCGGACGTTAAACACCAGTCCATCCAACATCTTGAAAATTGGAAATATGTTAAATATCCACCATTTTTAAGTCTTAGTACATGCATATTTAATATTTCCTTATGTTTAAATATGTTCCAGGTTCCAGGAGAATTTCAACAACTACAATGACTTCAAGGAAAAACGCAAAGCTGCCCAACAACTCGGATCACAAGAGCTCAAAAGACACAGTGGACTGATATTTCGTCTAATTGGATTCGCCTTCACATCTACGTGGGACAACTTGAGACAAGATTTAGAGGTACTGGCCCTGTCTTTAGACTATTATGCCACTTTCTTAGAGAATGAGAATCAGTCACAGAAGTATAGTCAGCTTCTCGCCCATCCAGTACGACAGGTAGCAGAACATGTAAGTGTCAAGTACGCTCCTGCCTGTAATGGACCTATACAGGCAAAGTACAGTACTCTCAACCAGATATTCACATCTGAGATAGGAGAGAATCACCCCGTCTATTTCGATGAGAATATCCATGTTCGTCAACCATTTGCAGACAGACATGAACGATACCGTTTTCTAAATGACATTGCATTGTCCTGCGATATTGACATCCTTCGCTACGATCCAGGTGGAGGTCTAGGTACAAACTGTGTAAATTTGGAGGGTACCAAAGGATCAATCTCCAGTTGAAATGATATCAACAGCTGCAAAGATGGCCAAACAGTTGGAAAGAAGGCTACCAGAATATCACACTCGGGAAATGAAGCGTGATTTTCAAAACAAATATGGAAATGTGGCAGGGGTAGCAATTCCACCACATGTTTTAAGGGCCATGTACACAGAACTTACTCTGGATGCATCAGCTGACCTAAATCCTGCCATTGATGAACGGATGCGACAGGCTATCATTGGTGATAACTCCGATCTAGTGGTAGACCTTAGACATCTCAACCAAGGAAGGCCAGATGACACTTTCTCAACTTTCTTCGAGATATTAGAGCAACAGATCAATCTGCTGCACAAGGTTCAGACTAGGCAGCTATGTTCAGCGCATATCGATGAACATTACTGTGCAGCCATCTTCTCCTATCTGAAGCAGTTTGCTGTAAAGTACAGAGATATCTCAACATTAGTGTGCATGGATGACAAAGCAAAGGTAGATTACGGAGAACCTGGTTTGGAAATTCTCCACGGGTGTTTGAGGGAAGAAATCGATTGTTCCCACAACGCCAACCTTGTCTGCACTTTACCATGATGTCAACAGCAAACGATCCCTCACGCCTTCAGTTTGTCTGGACGTCGACATACCAGAGTGTGCCGGCTCATTTTATAGAGGTCAGGTGTAGATGACTCTGAAGGATTCTGTTTTCCAGCCCTCCTCTCCATTTCATCATGCTGCTGAACTTTGCCAGATGCTGAAACATGAACATGATTCTGTGAAGCCTCTGCTCCTGTTGTATGCTGATGGGGGACCCGATCACAGGGTGACATACAATGCTGTCAAATTGTCACGCATCGTCCTCTTCAAGAACTTGGATCTGGATATGTTGATAGCTTCTAGAACCACACCTGGCCATTCATGGGCAAACCCAGCAGAACGCATCATGAGTTTGCTGAATTTGGCGTATCAAAATGTAGCGTTGTAACTTGTACCGCCAGGAGATGTCAAGAGCGTCCTTGTGCAAATTGCGAAAGGCTGTAATGGCATGACCGACATCCGCCGAAAAGCAGAACGTGAGCCAACTCTGAAAGAGGCATGGATAGATTCCTTAAGCCCACTGATCAACCTGCTGAATGACAGGACAGAGAGAGTACATCTTAAAAAACCTTCAAATCTATGCTGGCACCCATCACTGCAGAAGATGTGGAGTTTGAAAGTCAAGTGAAACAACTAGTGGATCCAGAAATTGCCATTGGGAAGTACACAAAGAATGACATGAAGAAATTAGACGGCTACCATCACTTAATGGCTGCACACTGCGTTGAGCGGACATATTCCTGACAGGTATATATATTCTGACAGTATGTACATGTACTACTAGTATCAAAGTGTGAATTAATTCATATAAGTTTTGCAGATGTTGTATATTACACACTTCTGACAGCTTTAATCTTAACACTGTGGTGAATGTTTAGTGTTTTTGTTTTGTTTGCATTTGGTACACATTGTTTTCTTTTGTCACTGATCTTTACAACCGCGTTTCCCTCGATGTTCTTCTGATTACTGCCTATGGTTTGTTCGTTTGGTGGTGGACTCGTCTTTTGACTTCTCTTCCTTCCACTTTATTTAGCAACTTCATGAGGTGCAGAACCAAAGTCCATCTATGTGTATTTAATACCTATGCATCTGTGCTGTGGTTGGCTTGTCTTGTTTGTGTTTCAGTTTCAATGGGGTGTAGTTTCTTTTAAATAATTTTCTTTCGGTCATTTTCATCTTCTGACTGACAAGTACATATAAAACATAAAATGTAACTAAAATGTCCGGTTTATTAGTAATACTTTTTAAACATTAAATATTTGTTAAAAAAACAAACATTTTTCGCATGTTATTTGTGACATTTTCGAGGTGCTATCTGCAAATAGTAATAAAAAAAGAAATATTGCTTAAAAATTACGGCAACACAGATAAAACAATATATCAATAAAGTGTAAGGTTGTACTCGGCGTGACGTATAGGGTGTACCGGGTAATGAGTAACGGTAGTGGAAGATGCAAAGCAAACACGAACTAGAAGTGTAACGTACCACAAACACGTATATTGTGAGCCATGATAACAGTGATTTACAAATAAGCCGTGACGCGTACAAGGGACGTGCGAGACAACAGTCGGGTAGAACAACAGGGAGAGGAGTTCTCCCGCTCCAAGCGCGGCGCGCCTTTTATATCAGCCCGGCTTTCGTGACCGACATCCGGGCATTATCTTCTCACCTCCTGAGCTTTGCCCGGTTGCATTCCTATGCGACCTGCGATCGTTGCTTCGTGAGCACCGCATGCCCCCCTCTCCGCACTCCCTCTGTCGACCACGCTATCTGGCACGTAACGGGCGTAGCACTAATTGCAAATGATTGTCGTCAACATGATTTACATAACGCCCGCATAGGCTTGAATGTAACTAGTAATAATGCTGTGTTCTTGCTTCAATGAAATCGTAACAACCATATTTACAAGAAAATCAATTTAGAGTACTGTAGTTTTCAAGCTAAATTATCCTGAAATTGGACAACAGTATATATTTCTGGTACGGACGTTACTTTTGACATGATTTTTCAATTCCAACTGTGTTTTGATACTCGTCAACATGATTTACATAATGTCCGTATATATTTTGAATGTAACTAGTAATGATGCTGTGTTCTTGCTGCAATGAAATCGTAACAATTACATTTACAAGAAAATCAATTAAGAGCATCAGTTAGTAAGTTAAAATGTCGTTAAATTAAACAAGTTTATATTCCTGGTATGGACGTTACTTTTGACTTGTTTCACTAATCTCTTACATAAAGGGTGAGTCTGTTTTTCTGTCTGTCTGTCCGTCTATCTTCTCCCCCCCCCCCATAAGAGGTCACCCCCAACACCATATATATTCTGAATCAGCATGACGCGACCACCATTTTAGGCCCCCTATAGATCACACAACTAAATGAGTTTACATGACTTGTTGCTGTGCACAGGCACTTGGAGCGTTTCAATAAATTATAATCTTTTACATAAAGGGTGAG